GCCCCTGACACTTTCCTCTTTCCCGCTGTCCTTTGTCGTTGTAGTCACCTCCCATCTGACATGCAGGGTAGGAGACAGGACCCTTCAAGGTAGTGTGAGAGTGGTAAGGGGTTAGAAGGGACAGGCACCGAGACAGGCCCCAGGGTGCTTTTCTCCCCTGTGGGTGCCTGTTTTCACTCTTCAGCAATTCTGCTCTTCTCTGCCTTGAAGCAGGGGTGCTCTTCCCCACTTTCCCTGCTACAAGTCTGCAGCAGGGCTGGGTTGACTCTGAAATTCCTCCTGTTCCAACCTCCCTACCCCCTACCTTGCCCCTGGGCCAAGACCCCAGGCTATGTGGGTCCAGACAAAACAAGAGCACATTTATCTTGATGCCAAGGACCCTGGAATCTCTCTGCATAAACATTCTAAATGAGGAACCCAAACAGGCCTGTTTCTCACCGAGTATGAGACTAAAAATAAGCATGGCAGGGCCTGCCTGGGGCTGGGGCCTGCCTGTCCCATAGGGACAGGGCAGCGCAGTGCTGTTTCTCCTTCCACCTTGAAATGAACAGCATGGCCCTGCTCCCAGGGTGGTGGGAGCCCAGGGAGGTGGAGCCCAGGGTCTCCCTTTGCCAGCCGCACCCTGCTCTGCCCGGGCTGCCTTCGCGGCTCTGTGTGCAGCTCCACCTTGGCTGGTGTTTCTCGGCGGCCCTTCCCAGCTCTGTTGACATCTCCTTCTTGGCAGCAAAGGCCGATGTCACAGCTTCTAGTCACTTTCAGATCCAAGAGGTCCACCCAGGCCAGCTGGGATCCAGCCTGGTCTGAGGAGCTTGGGGCCATTCTTAGGGAACTGACTTAAGGCTCCTGCTTCGTAGGTGCAGAGCTGGGGGCCTGGCTTTGCTCCTGGAGAGTGAGGGGACAGGGGCCCACAGTGGGGCAAGACAATCCTCAAGGCCCTCAAAGGCTCCGAGGCCAGAGGAGACTCAGGAGACTCAGGAGCCCCAGGCGGGGACAGGGCCAGTCCCCAGGAGGTGGGGAGCTGCTCTGGCTGTGTGGTCTCGAGGGACAGGGGATGCCCCATAACCCAGTCTCAGTGGGACCCTCGCAGTGCAGGAGGCCATACTGGGCCTCCCCACCTTCCAGCCAACGAAGGCAGAGAAGGGGGCAAAGTGAAGGAACACACCCTGACCTTACCGCCTCGAGTCTGGGGGAGGGCAGATGCAGGCGCTGCACTGTGGAGAGCCCCCATACAGGTCACTTTCTCTTCTGCACACGGCAGGTGCCCTGCACACGATGATCTATTCATCCTGCATGGGGAGGAAGAAGATGCTTTGAGGGCAGGAGGGGTGACAGTCACTCACAGTAACTGTGCTGCAGC